ATATTAAAGCAGAGCTGAAAAATGTACCATATTTTACTTGTTGGTTATCATGGTTACATTTTTAGAACAAGCTTTTGAACAAGGTTTGGTCATGCTTTATTCAGCTCAGCAAGACTTTTGACCTGTTTTAAAACCTGGAGGGATAGATCTTTTTAATCTGCTGAACACACTAAGGTTTAATTCCTTTAAAAATAGTAAAACATTTTATTTAAACTGGCTTTAAGATGGTTGTTTGATTCTATATCTATTTTTATTGGATTTGTACAATTTTTTAAACATTTTTATCATTTATTTTACTCTGAAAATGACTACAATACATTTTTTAAAACTTAGGCTACAAACTATTTAATTCCTGAGAGTGTGCAGCTGTTTTAAACAGCTGAGCTGCGTAAAGCCAAATGCGTAATTTGGACTCACCGTTACGCGCAGCCTCAGCCAGGACCCTCCCGCCGTGCCTGGCCTGGTTTGTATCTTCATCATCTGCTTGATCCTGGCTCTGAGGGTCTGGCTGAAAACTGCCCGACTCTGTGGCGTCGTTCTGAACAGCTGAGCTGCTCTCGCGCAGCAGCAGCAGCAGCATCAGGAGCGCGAGGAGCTGGAGTCCGCTGGCCATGATTACGCGTTAAAACGTTCCGCTTGATAAATCAGTCATCCGCCCCGCTCGTGCTTTACATATTGTTCACCTGGTGAAGTGAGGAGTCCGTAACATTTGAGGAGCGTGTGGGACACGCCCACTTGCAGTGGTGCGTGTGCGTCCATCCTGAGCCATGTGTCCATCCTGAGCCATATCATCCTGAGCATCCCGCGCTTTTTTCTTTTCTTTATTTTTATGTTTGTCATAAACATAAAATGCGCCATGTGTGTGTGTGTGAAGAGAAACTAGACTCACATTTTTTACAAGATATAGTACAGTTTGTGCGTAAATTGTCAATGCTCATATAACAAATGTGTTGTGTAACAGAGGTAGAGGACAGTCTGATAATCACAAATAATGGACAGTTTGTGGACAGAAGTTGTAAAAGCACGTTACAAACTCAAACTATAAAAACCTGGAAAAATAAATATTTTTGTGGTGACTCAAACTTTTCCCCTTCAACCTCACAAATTTTATAGTTTTCTTTTGAGAAAAAGCCTGTGTGTAAAACAAGGTTTACTGTGTAAAACAATTAGAAAATGGGTGAATTTCTCCCTAACTGTAAAAGGTGGAGCTACAAGGTGGCCATTAACTTTGGTTAGTTTTTTTTTTGTTAGGTTTAATCTTTTTTGTTTTTTACAAGATTAAGAAATATCAGAACATCAACTCCAAAAAACAAAACAAAAAAACAAAACAAAAAAAAAAAAAAAAAAAAAAAAAAACACGTCGCCTACCGGTATATGTAAGTATGCAGGGGCGGAGCCAGGGGGTGGCCATGGCCACCGCAGACAAATCTTTGGCCACCCACTGTACACACCCCTTCCACAGTGAAACAGCCTTTAGGGGTGTAATAATCCTCCTGAACAGTTGGTGGCAGTGTTTAACAGTTTGAAACATCATCAAACTCTATCACTGAAGAAGAGTAATGACAAGAAAGTGATGTTTTTTGGATAGACCAGGGGTGGGCAATCCTGGTCCTCGAGGGCCGCAGCCCTACAGGTTTTATGTTTTCCCTGCTCCAACACACCTGATTCAGACATTGAATTACGAAGTTCTGCAGTATGGAGGTCTGACACTGACATAACTAGAAAAAAAAGCAGAAATATATAAATGGACCAATAAATAAATTCAATTAAAAATGTGCCAATTTAATTAAAAAGGAGAGCTTTATCTCATGTTTTATAATTTAATTGACCTTCATATTTATTTTTCCAACTTATTTCCTACTAATAATATATTTTTGCACATAATTTACATTCTGCTATTTTTAATGTTTTTACTGTTTTTCAATACATAATTATATATAATAT